GCGGCTGGGGCAGAGGCTCCCTGGGCTCCTTGCTTGCGGTCTGGCTTCATCGCTGGCCCTGGGGAAGCAGACACACTCTGTGCCTTTTTATTTTTTATCACAAGGACGGAGTTTGCTAAGCACAAACCTCGATGCGCAGCGAGCTGAGGTCCCTGCTCTGGCGGGATGGTAACCGGCGGCGGGGGCTTGGTTTGGTCGGTTAACGCGTTGGGGCGGGCGCCTTCGGCACTTTGCAAACAACCGGGGGCTTGCCCCTGCCAGCTCTGCATCCTTGATTTAACCAGGGCTTTTGGCAAAAGCTACGGTCAAAAAGAGCGCTGGGAAACACTGAGCAGGGTGTTCTCTTTACAAGACGTGATGAAGATAGAAGTCAACGTGAGAGAAACATTTCTATGGAAAATACTATGTACTTCTTGATAACCTATCGCCTGTGCCTCTTTCACTTGAAACCCAGCACTTTTTGTCTTCAAAACAAGTCCCTTCTGACCCTGGAAGGGGCTGCCCAGGGAAGGGGTCGAGTCCCCAGCCCTGGGGGGATTTAACAGCCGGGCAGAGGCGGTGCTGAGGGCCAGGGTTTGGGGGTGGGATGGCAGGGGTAGGGGGGCGGTTGGGCTGGGGGATCCATCCTGTGGTTCCATGATTCTGCGGCTGTCAGAGGGCTGTCACCCTTCGCCTGGGAAGGGAAATGGCCTTGGGGCGCCCTGTGATGAAATGCTGGTAATGAAGTCGTTAGGGCTGTGTGCGCCTGGGCTGAGCTCATCCTCCGGGCAGGAGGAGGTGACGGTGACACCGGGTGACATTGTCTGGGGTGCGCTGCCCTCGGGGAGCTGGGTCCCTCGTATGGCGGGCGCCCTCCCAGACCCCCCCTTTTCCCAGGGGGCAGGAGCCCTGCCTGCGGGCTGCAGTGTCCCCCACTCGGCTGTGAGGGCGGGAGCATGCCTTACGTGTCTCTGTCTCCCACCCCGTAGCTGGCTGAAGTCCACGGCGTCCCCAGGGGGCTGTACGACGGACCGGTCCACGACGTCCTCGCCAGCGCCAAGGCCGTGGCCCCCACCCCGGCGGCCAGGATCGTGCCCTGCGCCGGCAAAGCCCAGGCTCCTCCCGTGCGCAACCTCCACCAGTCGGGGTTCAGCCTCTCTGGTAGGGCCCGGCGGGGGGGCTGTAGGGGGCGGCAGGGCGAGGATGAGGAGGGGACCCTTAATTTTGGCTCAGGAAAGAGCTGTTCTTACTGTTGCAGCAGGCGAGGGGCTAAATGCGGGACAGAGCTCCCCAGCGTGTCCTGCGGTGTCTGTGCCGAGGCCCCAACCAGCCGGCACCCCAAAGCCTGGCGGGGGCTTCAGGCGAGTACAGGGGCTCCCCGGAGGGGGGGGGCTGCAGCGGCGGGGAGGAGGAGGCTGAGGCCGAAGGTGAGGGTGTCACCACTCACTGGAGACGCTGCCCTGGCTGTCGGAGGATTGGGACTTCAGCCCTGGCTGTGTCCCCTGCGAGTTGGGGGCATTAGAAATGGTTGGGTTTGTAGAGATTACCCAAGTAACTCCCTTTTCAGGAAGCGAAAAGGCAATTTCTTCAGTGCTTCTGTGTAAGCAGGCGGTGGAGACGCTCTGGCTGTCGGAGGATTGGGACTTCAGCCCTGGCTGTGTCCCCTGCGAGTTGGGGGCATTAGAAATGGTTGGGTTTGTAGAGATTACCCAAGTAACTCCCTTTTCAGGAAGCGAAAAGGCAATTTCTTCAGTGCTTCTGTGTAAGCAGGCGGCGATTCCACATCGCTGAGCTGAAATCTGCCCGGTAGCTTTAGGGGCCTTGGAAAGCCAAAGCTCTGCTCTAACGCGACTTTTGTAATTTTGTTTTCTTAGCTGGTTAAATCAGATGGATCACAGCCCCACATTTTATTATATAGAAACCATTTATTTACAGGAAAGCCACTTAAAACATTTTCCGGAAAGGAGCAAGAGAAGATAAACTTTGGTCAATAGCCAAATGAGTATGAGCCAGCAGGGTGCCCAGGTGGCCA